GGGATAAACGGCCAAGAAAGACACAATATGAATGCTACACCACCGGTATCCCACCGCTACTGGTGCGACACAAGCAAGGGCGAGGAGCGGCGGACCGGCTCCAACAGACCTTTAGCCCCCCGGGGGCTCTTTCGGTAGGGACGGCGGAGACCAACTTGAAGTCAGACATCTCTCGCACTTCTATCCTTCTGACCCATATCTAGCTGACCCGCTCAACATGCCCTGTGCGCTGTATATACACTCACTGCATTCCCATCAGTCGACGTATCAACTAACAATAAAACACGCAAGGACACACACAAGCATGGGCATGACAAAAACTTTGTGCTCACATGCTATGAATGCACTAATCAATGGCGCACACACATGAATGCGGGAGGACCCGCATACCGGAGCACATATGTGGGAGCGTATGTGTATAAGCTGGAATACTGCGGCGCGGCCATCAGCACGGTGAGAGAAGCCTGCAATGCGGCCAAACGAAACATCAACACACCTGCCAGGCAGACGCAGGAGCACTCAGACGAGTAGATCTGCGTGCCAGAATGCTGCTTGACGGCCATCGGCTCACCTGGCAATAGAGAGGGCGGCAATGCGACTCAACAACACACCTGCCAGGCAGACACAGGAGCACTCAGACGAGTAGATCTGCGTGCCAGAATGCTGCGTGACGGCCATCGGCTCACCTGGCAATAGAGAGGGCGGCAATGCGGCTCAACAACACACCTGCCAGGCAGACGCAGGAGCACTCAGACGAGTAGATCTGCGTGCCAGAATGCTGCTTGACGGCCATCGGCCCACCTGGCAATAGAGAGGGCGGCAATGCGACTCAACAGCACACCTGCTAGGCAGACACAGGAGCACTCAGACGAGTAGATCTGCGTGTCAGAATGCTGCTTGACGGCCATCGGCCCACCTGGCAATAGAGAGGGCGGCAATGCGGCTCAACACAACACCTGCCAGGCAGACACAGGAGCACTCAGACGAGTAGATCTGCGTGCCAGAATGCTGCTTGACGGCCATCGGCCCACCTGGCAATAGAGAGGGCGGCAATGCGGCTCAACAACACACCTGCCAGGCAGACACAGGAGCACTCAGACGAGTAGATCTGCGTGCCAGAATGCTGCTTGACGGCCATCGGCCCACCTGGCAATAGAGAGGGCGGCAATGCGGCTCAACAACACACCTGCCAGGCAGACACAGGAGCACTCAGACGAGTAGATCTGTGTGCCGGAGTCCTACATGACAGCCATCATTGCCTTCAATCGGTCTGTAGTCGACGCGCTCTATTCTGCCTGTGACTACTGACTCATGGAAGCTGATCTTTTGCAGCCCCCTCCCCCATTCAAGGGGGAGGGGGCGACATTGCGTCGTCCGCATCACCACCTCCCTTCGCTGTCTGCGCCCTGTCTTCAGTCACACACAAGTGCACCCGACATTTGGTTTCTGGGCCAGCCTCGCCGTTCACAAGCAAGCACCTCTTCCTTCAGCTTCCCCAGATCTTCAAGAATCGCCGCAAAATGCTTCGGACAGTGCCCAACTGCCTTTTGTCTACCCTAAGGCTCGGCTACTCGCCGCTGGCGATCACTGGTTTAGTGTCTGGTGTTCGTTCGTTCGTTCGTTCGTTAACCTCACGGGGACCTTGCCCCCCGGCCCCCCGAAGGGGTACGCAATGAAATTTCCCTCCTCCGTCGGGCTGGCGGGACTCGCTACGCGTTCGCAAATGCGTTTCGCAATGCATGCAAAGCCCCCAAGCTCGCGCGAAGCCCCCACAAGGGAACCGAAGGGAATTGCTAGCTTGGCCCCAATTACGGACAAACAAAGGAACACTTTGTTTCGTAAGAGCGTGCCACGCTCGTGAAACTCGCGAGTCCCGAAGAAAGGGTCTGTGTGAGTCCATAGAAAATCACAAGTCAGGAGAAGGAAGCACCGGATGCAACGCAACCCACCGCTTGCGCGAGGCCTTCGCAGAAAGTAGAAAAGTGGCTACCGCTTCATGCACATGCAGTGAGCGAGAGGTGAGCAAAAAAAGGCAAACACAAGGGGATCACAATAATTGAGATCCCATCGAAAGTAAACCTTGCCATCAGGCGCCGCAAGGCCGTACATGCGAACAACACGGAATACTTCCCCTCGTGCAGAGCTGTAGAGCGGACAGTAGAAAAGAATGTGCAGCTCATCCTCAACAGGTGGCACCCACATGTGAGACAAGAAATGAAAAACGGTGCAATACGGGCAAGAGCGTAGCAGTCGTGGAGGGCCACCGATACGCCCATCAGTAACTTGCTTGAGGGCTCCCTCCTTGGTTGGTGGTCGATTGATTGACGTCCTGTCGCGACGCGTGGTGTGTCTGTCGCTTGCTTGGTGCGACTGTCTGTCAGTGATGTGTCGCTTGTGCTTACCCTCGCTTAAGGTTCTCGCACTTTGAAGTCGGTGCGTAAGCTTGATGCTCACCTGAGTCACCTGGAGATGATGTCTCTCCCCGTTGAGGCTGAGGTTGCTTGTGTACGCCCGCTGGTAGTCGCGCACGTCTCTTCAATGAACGCTGCCGCACAGGGTGGCGGGGGATGCACACACATAAACGATTATGTCCATCATATGCAAAGAAAACGAAAAATCTGTCAAAGTCAACGATTCTACCAAGTTTGTCCGAAAATCTGATCTCAAGAAGCAAAAATCGGCCTGTCCGCAAGTCTTTCGCCGGCGATCTAAACTCCCGGCGATCTAAACTCCGTCGATCTAAACTCAAGCTCGCAGAAGCTCGCATTAAACGTTCAACTGCCTCTGAGCCAGTCCTGTCTGCATGTGCCGACTTTGCTGCCTTCCATGTATCATCTATTTCCTATCTACCCACTCACTATCAACAGATACCCTACACCCATTATGCAATCCATCCACAATAGTCATGTCGTCCCTTGCACCATCGTCATTTCGACCGATTTCTGTGTGTCTGATGCCGGACGAGGTCAGTGCTGCTAGAACACCTCCCTCCCTTTATCAGCGAAGCGTCATTCTCCTGAGATCTTCACTAAAATGGGCCGGAGACGGCAACAAATGGTGCTTGAATTCAGTCTCTTATTCTGCTTAAAATGCCACCTCGTAACAAACTGCACAAGGATATGTACCGGTCCGAAAAGCGAACAGTACACGACGCTTGGGTCTAGGTAGCGAGAAGTAGCATGGAAAGGTGGACAAAGGCTGGATGAGGCGATGAAGCCAGTCTTGGCCTGACTCAATAATGAAATCACGCAGAAAAGGAGGTACATATGCAGGTAGAGAGAGTAGATTGCTTCTGTCCAGAAGGCAACGCTGTGTACGCGGCGCAAAAGGCCGACGGGTCACGGGAAAGCTATGAGGGAAGACATTGCCAAAGAAAGGAGAAGCAGTGAATAAACGCTGACGTGCATGCAAGAGAATCCGCGTACGGGCATTGTCATGTGTGTACCCACGCCATGGAAGAAGACACAGAGGCAAGGGCAAGAGCGAGAGGGGGGGAGGAAGGGGGGGTGCATCATGCAGCAACGAATGATGTAATGTATATATAGATAATGACAGAAATTATTGTTAAAAAAGAAGATAGAAAAACCAGTAGATATTTGAGTGACTATGAATTTGCTATGATAATTGGCGAACGCGCAAGAACTATAAGAGATGATGGTAGTAGTAAATACGCTCCAGTACCGCTACCAGGATATCGTGCAACATATCCCTCCATGATGACGAGTCCGTATATTGGTGTCCCACCGTGACGTGAGTGTATCAGCAAAGTGAGCCTTAGCATGGCCGACACGAAGGTCATGCAACATGGAGTCACTAATGGGACCAACATTAGAGATCAGGGCGCGCTGACGCATGATCCAAAGCGGCAGCAAAGCGAGCATACATATTATGGTGCTGTCTGTAGAAGTAAGTGGTGTCTGTCTGCATACGTGTGAACTGAGGTGCGGATGTATAAGCAGATTGGGCTTCTGACAGAGCCTTTCTAGCTAGCTCACCGCAACGACCATTCCATATACGACACAGAAAACCGAGCAGCCGCCGGCGCGCTTCATACGTGACGGGAAAGCGGCCGGTCTCAGTGAGTAATGCGTCCGTGCTAGTGCGAGATGAGACACGCATGACACGCAAGAGAAATAGGCGATGTAACTTATCGAGCTGACGATACGGCAGGCCCGCCCAGAACTCACAGCCATACAAATACACAGACGCAACAAGTGTGTCGAAAAGAAGGACAAGAGTTGCTGGGTCTAGTGCAGGCAGACGTTTAAGACGATGATAAAGGATATTCAAAGAAGTATTTGCTTTCCCACTCATGACCTGCAAGTGATACTCCCACCCCACCGATTCATGAAATCATACACCAAGGTAGCGAAAAGCGGGATCACGAGGCAAGACATTGGTTGCAGGGCCGAAGTGAAAGGTGGGGGGTGGGGTAGGGGCAAACTCAGGGTTAAAAATAACCACCCTGGTCTTCACACCATGTACGCAGACGATCAAGGCTCTCTTGCAGGCCTGGAGCGCATACAGCAAGCAAAGCAAGATCATCGGCGTACAACAAAGCGAACACAACAATGTCGATGAGCCGCAAGAGTGGGGCGGTGGCGTCACGGCCAGCGCGAATGTATTCAGGCAGGTCATCGACAAAAAGAGAAAACAAGAGTGGGCCAAGGACATCGCCTTGCTTAACACCGAACAGCTCCTTGAACACAGCAGATAGCCCCTCAAAGCCACCATCAACACGCGCCTTCACACGTGCATACAGAGCTTCGAGATTCCGTACGAGAGTCTCTGCAATGCCCTTCCTACGAAGGACATCCCAGAGGAGCTTACGATTGACGGAGTCAAACGCCTAACGAAAATCAACGAAGCGCACATAGAGTGGCTGCCTGGCACGACGAGCACGTTCTATCAAGCTACCCAACACAAAGCACTGGCCAATAGTACCATGATCCTTACGAAAACCAGCCTGTTCTGGGCATGTGGATGTCTGAGAGAGGATGGCATTAATGAGGAGGTTACCATACAATTTCTCCCAGACAGGCAGCAAGTGGATGCCCCGATAATTATCAGGCAAGTGAGTAGGGCCCTTCTTATGCAGGGGATGGATAAGAATACAATCATGAGCATATGCCCACGTACGCGAGCGAAAAAACGCAGTGAACACCTGGCTGAGGTCTGTGAGAGCGGCCGTCCCGACACGTTTCCCAACTGCATAAGTGATACCATCAAGTCTCCAACCGTCCACCGGTAGAGTGTACGGCCAGAATTATGACGCGCAGCACGAATGCGATCACGCAAATTAGTCACAGCAGGAGAGAGCGCTAGATGCTGTGTGTGTGAGTCAGGGCAAGATCAAAGTAAGTAGCGAGAGAATACAAACGAGGAGACGCAATACTCTGGTGGTGGTGGTGGTTTTGTTTATGGGGTACTTGCCCCCCCCCTCCCGAGTCTTTTGCGAGTCCGATTATGTACACTGGCCACGCACGATCACACTCCGATCGACCGATCGCACGCCTCGTTCGTTCGTTCGTTCGTTAACCTCACGGGGACCTTGCCCCCCGGCCCCCCGAAGGGGTACGCAAGAACGAGTCTGTGTGATGCAGGCCTGTCTACCACCCATCCCTATGGTCCACCACAAAAGGAAAGGCACTGGCACCGGCCGACACAGATGACAACAGAGGGCACAGCTGACGAACACTTCCCCTGGCTGCATACACAAGAACGGGCGATATCGCCCGACAGCAAGAAGCCCTGGCAAGTGTACAGAAGCCAGAGGAAGCAAGCGAAACATGGAAGCCCACTGTGTCCTCAGCCTTTGCACGGTTTCACGGGAGCTAGTAGTAGTTAACGCATCCGTGCATGCATCCGTGCCACTCCTCGGTTGGTCCTCGCGGCGCGTCCAGTAAGATCCCTTTGCAGGCAGTCCAGTGAGATCCTTAGGGTGGCTAGTCTAGACTCCCTCCAGAAACTTGCACCATGGGTCCACTAGAGGAATTGAACCCATGATGACCGGTGTGTACATTTCGATCCGCGAAATTCTGTAGGGTGTGCCTTTCGGTCTGCATGTTGTAGGGCGTTATGGCCTGCTTGGCTATCCTCCTTTCTCTCCCTCTGTTGTCTTCCTGCCTCCCTTGCACATGCGTCCCGCATGGTGGTGTGTTCACCTGATTGTTTGTTTGTTGCGTGTGATGGCTCAGTGGGCATGAATGCCAGGGCTTCATGCTGTCGGGCGATATCGCTCGTTCTTGTGTATGTAGCTAGGGGAAGTGTTCGTCATCTGTGCCCTCTGTAAGGCTCTGTTGTCATCTGTATGTCGGCCGGTGCCAGTGCCTTTTCCTTTGTGGTGGACCATAGGGATGGGTGGGTAGACAGGCCTGACTCACACAGACTCGTTCTTGCGTACCCCTTCGGGGGGCCGGGGGCAAGGTCCCCGTGAGGTTAACGAACGGACGAACGAACGTCCCTTTCCGATCGCCTTCCGTTACGAGGGGGTCTTACCCCCTCGTACCCGTTCGTGACCGCGTTCGCGGGGGTTCCATCTTGCGTACCCCTTCGGGGGGCCGGAGGGCCAGGTCCCCGCGAGGTTAACGAACGAACGAACTGTGCGAAAAGGCCGGTGAGGACCTTTCCTGTAGTTAGCTGAATAGAGGATCTGCTGGGCGATAAGTCCCAGAGTAAGAATGCTTTTCCTTTAGTAAGACCGATGGACTGGCCAGTCAATCAAAGTTGTTTCTGTCCATGTATGGCATCATGAAGGGTGGTCAACACAGATCTCACTTTGGTGATGGCTGATAAGATCGTGTCTCCTCAGAATGCTTTCCTTGTCTTTTCCTCTCTCCACCTCTCTCTCTCCCTTACACAGCAATCTACCCTAGCTCACAAGCTCGGCACTCCTGACACGAACGAACGAACATCTAGCGATCGCGATTGGCCAGTACTTGACCCTTTGGGTCTCCGCCAAAAGGGCAGTTGGGCACCGTGAGGTGATTTGGCGGCCATTCCCGAAAATCTGGGGAAGCGAGGATGGCCGAGAAACCAAAAACCGGCTGCACTTGTGTGTGATTGAAGAGAGGGCACGGACAGCGAAGGGAAGTGGGAATGCGGACGACGCAACATCGCCCCCTCCCCCTTGAATGGGGGAGGGGGCTGCAAAAGGTCAGTATCCATGAGTCGGTCCCGGATCACGGACCCTAAACTGTCCCGGGGGCGGTTGCCCCCCAATCGGGTTAGGGTTCAGGGTTCGGGTTTCGGGTGGGGGCAATACGCCCCGGGGGTAATATTAGGTCAGAGGGGGGGCCACCTTGACCGCAAAGTGGGCCGGCGGTCAGACGAAACATACCTTCCCTGGTTTGCCGCTGGGACATCTGTATGAGTTGGTTGATGAGTGGACAAATGAACCGGAGCACTCTGCGGCATCAGAGAGGCGAACACCACCCCACCTCAGGCCATCTGTCCATTGCATGGTCGTTGCTTGTTGTGTCCGCCGTTCAGGTCGGTTGTACGCAGCCGAGAAGAAGATGCACAGGACCGCCCTGCAGCAGAAGCCTCTGTGGAAGAAGCAGCTCAGCCGCTTTCTGACAGTGGGCGGTTGGGAGGGGTGGATAACGACATACACCAGCGGCAAGTACGCCGGCCAGCCGCACATGATCAACTTCGTCCGGTGGATCCTGAGCCAGGCCAAGTCGATGCAGACCAGCGAGACGCTCTGCGGCGACAAGAAGGGAGGTAGGCAGATAGCGAGAAAAGGACAGGGGAGGAGTCCTCGATCGCATGGCCTTCGTGTGTACGCATCTGTATGTCAGATCGAGTCAAGACGTTGTGTTTTCTGGAGCAGCACTTCAGTGACGCCACCCTGGCGTTCATCTGACGCACTCAGCGTGTGAGGCCCCTCCTGACTGACTCATTTCCATGTGGTGTGCATGGAAGACTCATCGCATGCATGTTCCTTGCGTGAATGCATTCTGCATACGTTCAGTCATCGATGACTTCGATCGCCAGTTGACAGGATGAGAAAAAGTCCGAATTGGGAAGAAAGCGAATTCATTTATCCGAGGCCCACAGCATTGTTGCAGGGTGCACGAGATGACACGTCAATCTCGTGCGTGAACTTTGGGAGTGAATAAGGGGGTTTCTCGTGATGCTTCGGGTGGCACCACTTAGCCGTTTTCTCACACGGCTTCTGCTTGCGTCGCGCTGAGTTACCAGCCTGGCGATGAGGCAAATCAGGAAGAAACGAAAGTCAGGCCGTTTAGGGCGTTTTGGGCAGTGGCTAGGATTGCTTTGCCATTTTTGCGCGAATGAGTGAGTATTTGACATGCAAAATTGGTTCACAGCGATCAGCGAAGCACGCTTGATCAAATGGGGCTAATTGTGAAGGCTCACAATGAATGATCTCACAAGTACATACAGGGCGCAGCTTCTAAGCTCCCCGATGAAGCCTAGCCAAGACAGGACGGAGGAGAGAATCTTGCCAGTCTCCAGCATCCTGTGTGCAGCAGTTGTGGAGCAGCAGAGTGTGACGGGCATCGAGCAGGTCTACCGCCCGAAAGTGGGAGGCGCGTGGAACCTCCACGACGCCACGACCACCCCACCCCACAACCACCACGTCGACCACTTTGTCTTGTTCTCGTCGGTCGCGTCGCTGTACGGCAACTTCGGCCAGAGCAACTACGCGGCAGCCAACGCTTGCCTTGACGCTCTTGCGGTGCATCGCCGTGCGAGCGGGCTGAGTGGCCAGTCGATCCAGTGGGGCCCTTGGGTGGAGCAGGGAATGGCCGCCGGTCTTCGACAGCACCTCAGCAAAGTGGGACTGCGCGGCATCACCAACGACCTGGGCCTTCGGGTGCTCAATGACCTCTGCCTCGTCAACACCACCACCCACAGCACTACCAGCAGCGTGGTGGGATGCCAGCCCTTCGGCGACTGGAATGTCTTCCTTCGACGCTATGAGCTCGTGCCTGCATTCTTCGACAACATCTCGCCCTCGTCTGGCACCGGCGACGCCAGTATGCTCATGGACAGTGAGCTGCGCAACAAGCTCAGGAGCATGACCGCAGACGACCTGCGGGCCTTCGTCAAGGCCACCGTGTTGGAAACGGCCACCGAAGTCCTCGGCCACGTGGCCGAGAGCGATCTCCCTCCCCTTGACGCGCCGCTGCAGGAGCTGGGCATCGACTCGCTGGGAGCCGTCGAGTTCCGCAACGCCTTGTCCAACAGTAAGCCTGCACCAACGACTCCTTGCATGAATGGATGCTCATCGTCTCTCTCTCTTCTTCTCTCTCTCTCTTGTGTCCCTCCCTCCCTTCCTCCTTCCCTCAGAGCTGGGCGTCAGGCTCCCCGCCACGACGCTCTTCGACTACCCCACCCTCGGAGCCATCATCGAGTTCATTGCGAAGGAGGCGGAAAGGACTGTCGGCCGCCAGTCAGCGGACCCATCGATCGATGAGGATGCGGCTCTGCGCATGATTGCTCCGCCTGACGTCAATGCCAGTGCTCTTGCCATCGTTGGCGCGGCATGTCGCCTGCCCTGTGGTGGTGACTTGGACGAGATGTGGACAACTCTCATGGACGCCACTGACTGCATGCGAGAGGTGCCTGCCACTCGTTGGGACGTCGACGCAGTGTATGACGGTGATCCGGACGCGTCTGGCAAGTGCTACGTCCGAAGGGGGGCCTTCATGGAGGGAATGGACGAGTTTGACAACGCATTCTTCAGCTTATCTCCGTCTGAGGTTCGGTACATGGATCCTCAGCAGCGTGTGATGCTTGAGGTCAGCTACGAGGCGTTCCACAGCGCCGGGTACTGTTCCCGCGACAGCCTGGTCGGGCAGGGCTTCGGCGTCTTCATTGGCTGCTGCAACCAGGACTGGAACTTCCTGGACATCAACAAGAAGAGCAGCAGCTACACAGGGACGGGCGGGGCGGCGTCCATCGTGGCCAATCGCTTGTCGTACGTGTACGGACTCAAGGGCCCCAGCATGACCATCGACACAGCCTGCTCCTCATCGCTCGTGGCCTTGGATGCGGGCGTCCAACACGTGCTCGGACCACACGGACGAGGGGCAACCGGCCTCTTGGTGGGAGGCGTCAACCTGATGCTCTCGCCACATCTCTTCATTGCCTTCTCCAAGGCCCGCATGCTCTCCATGGACGCGCGATGCAAGACCTTCGACAAGGAAGCCGACGGCTACGCAAGAGGCGAGGGGTGCGGCGCTATGGTCATCGAGACCCACCAGCAAAGTGCTGACAGCTATGACAAACATGACCACCCTGCAGCAGCGACAAAGACAAATCCGCTGCAAAGTCGTCAGGGCCGGCCGGTGCTGGGGTACATTCGCGGCAGCGCAGTCAATCACGACGGCCGGAGTGCGAGCCTCACTGCTCCCAATGGCCCTTCCCAACAGGAAGTGATCCGAGCGGCTCTGCAGATGGGAGGCCTGAGGCCAAGTGACGTCGACTACATCGAAGCCCACGGAACGGGCACCTCTCTCGGGGACCCCATCGAGATGGGAGCCATCATGGCCGTCTTCAAACACGCGAGGACCAACCACCTGCCTTTGGTTGTGGGGGCTCTCAAGACCAACATTGGCCATCTGGAGGGAGCAGCCGGCATCGCCGGCCTCCTCAAGCTCCTCCTCACACTGCAGCACGCCGAGGCCCCGCCCAACCTGCATTTGAAGACTCTCAATCCCTTCATGGAGGTCGATCACGACTTCAACGTCATCTTCCCCGTCGACCGCATGAAGCTGCCCAGAGCATCCCACCAACACACCGACGCTGCGAGGCCCAGACACAAACCCAGGCGGGGCTTCGTGGGAGGCGTCAGCTCATTCGGATTCGGAGGCGCAAACGCCCACATCGTCATGGAAGTCCCGGAGGGCATATCGGACAATACCCATGGGCCTGACCGGCAGCAACCCGTCTGGGACCACTCGACGGCTTTCCGCTGGAGCCCAATGCTCAATCCTTTCTGCGGTCGGGTCAATCACAGCGAATCGGGAGGCTGGAGAGCTCAGACTGTAGTACGACGGCAAGTCAGTGCCTTGCTGCAGCATCACACGATCATGGGTCGGGTGCTCATGCCCGCGACTGCCTTTCTCGAAATCTTCACGTCGGCTTCCGTTGCCGCGGCGGAGGAGGTCGGAGACGCTGATGACTCTGCCGTAGCAATCGAGAACATCGAATTCGAAAGGCCCCTCATTCTGCCTCGTCACAGCAACGACGGCTCTACACCCGGTGGCCACTGTGGTGTGGAGCTTGCAACGACATCATTTGAGAAGAAAGGTGGCGACTTGACCATCGTGTCGAAGGGCGGAGCAGCACTTGATCTCCAGCATGATGATGAGCAGCAACTGCATGCTAGAGGAAGACTGGCAAAACATGAAGCAAGTGATCGCAATACAGGCGACGAAGACGAGGAAGCGCTGCGGAAACTCATGGAAGGAACATCAAGTGGTGCAGCTCAAGAGATCGAGGGCGGTGAGCTGTACGCGAAGCTTCGTGAGGTTGGTCTGGAGTACGGTCCGCGGTTCCAGACGGTCCGGCGCGTGCACGTCTTGAGGCCCACGACCGTTTCATCAGAGGGAGGCGAGGGCGAGGAGGGTGGTCAGATGCCTGGCGAGGTGCTGGCTGAGCTGGTGGCTGGAGGCACGACCGGCAGCTGCGACGACTTTGAGGAGGGTTTCCGCATCCATCCCGCCATCCTCGATGGGGCCCTCCAGTCGGCAGCAGCCCTGTTCGCCATGGCCGACAGAAAGCATGCAGATGGGGGCAAGAAAGCGATGGTGCCCTT